TTAGAACTCGTCGACTTCAATTATCAACAAAGACCACGATTTCGAAAAGAGTGCGTTGGCACCGGTGTCATGGTACCCGACCGAGATGTAAAAGTACGATACAGATTCAAAAAACAATAAGAGTGTGGATGAAACTTTGCATTTTTTTTTAATAGTACAGTATATATTTAATAAATTTCTCAAAGAATAAATATAATTTCTTTTCATTAGTAATTTGTGTGTGTAACAACCCAATCTCCGCCAAGTGCATAACAGCCGTAGCCTAGATTTCTGGCAATGTAACAAAGTCCTTCTGTTTCAATTCCATCCCAACCTTCTGACATATTCCATTCGGTGCCGACAACATAATACGGTGGAAACACAAGACCCTGACGAACAAGATCAGCTTTGATATACAGAATCGTTCCACCTACACTATCCAATTTGACTAAATTCTCATTCGAGGTTCCCTTCAATAAGGTATCGAGCATTTTTGTATCTTTGGTTGGTCGACCGGTGAAACTACCACCTCTTCGTATGAGTTCCAGTTGTTTCGCAGTCGGAGTTTGACGAGAACCTGACCAAGCATTAAGATCATAATTCGAATGAGGATCGCGTTGGAAAGCACAACGAACAGTAAGTAATCCAACAGGCAGATCTTGTGTTTGTTTCGAATCGAGAGATTTTTCGATTAACATCTGTAAGAGTTGATCAGAGGAGAAATAGACATCAGCATCGAGCCAGATGATATGATCTTCTGATTGTAGAGAAGATAACATCAAATAGTTTCGTAAACGTGCTAGAAGACGTCGACGTTTTTTTTGTACAGTTTCTTCATGACGTTCTTGACGATCATTATCGAGATTTATATCATGCGTTTGATCACCATAGCCTGGATGATAGATGAGATGAACACGAACGAAGAGTTCTTCATCATCCGTCGAAATTACTTCTAAGATTTTTCTATACTTATGATATTCCTCTGTGGATGATGTGAGCAATCCCAAAGACATGTCGCTTGGTGGAAAACGCGACGATTTTATAGTGCTGATGAAGGACCAAAATGTTCGAAATGAAGAATTTTGTTCGTCTTGACCCCAAGAATATTTATCTTTATTTAAGACTAATACCAGAAGATGTGGATTGATCGACTGGTTATTGACAGTTCGAATCCAATGCTGTGTCACTCCTAGATATATTTCTTTTGATGAATATCTGTTCGTCGGTACGACATTATAGGACGATTTCAACGACCAAACACGACCGTAGAAGAAAAAGTATGCAGCAAAGATGAGAGGAGTGAAAATTAAGATTGCAAAAAGCCATTCGTATTCGATCTTTTTCATTCAAATAACAAATTGATGAAAACCGACGTGTAAAAGCTGAATTCGCTCTGTCATTGTTTTCATTGTCTACCACGTGTACAGGTTTGTCGTTTGTTACACATCAAAGGAAGAATTGGTTGAATTAATTTTGTCCGGTTTTTTTTTTCTTTTATGCGAACTAAATGTGATCAACATAAAAAGTTCGATACATATTACTCAAAGTTAACAACAGTTTGAACCTATTTCAGATAATCAGTAAGAATGTTTCTGATAACAATAATGACTGTAAAAATCACATCGATCAAGATTCTATTTTATTTTTCATAATTAGCATATATTACATTCCTTCATTAAGAACAAATGTCAAGTTTGGATATATAGACATTTGTTTTTTTCGTTGTCCTCGTATTACAAATTTGATCGGTCACAAGCCTGTATCTTGTTTATTTTGTATTTATATAGTGTATGTGATTGTCAAAAAGTGACTGCAATATGTAATTTCATAACCTTCGGTAATTATAATAGAAACAGCTCATTCAATACAGTATACTCTTTGCTCCTACGTGTGTCAACGCTAGAGCATATAAAAATATAAATAAGCTAAACGGGCCAGCGAAACGCTTGTCAGTAAAGTATGATAGGCAAATAAAATCACAAATATCTTTTTTCTTTTGCCTCTTCAGGTGAATAGTACTCAATATGCAAGGACAAAAAAAAACAGAGGACATTTTGGAGTGTAACGAAACAACTATCTTATAATCGAATCTGTCTATCAGAAAATGATCATAATTTTTTCTGCACCATTAATTGCAAATGAACTGAAATGACTCAGTACATATTTTGTCTATTATAAAGTCCTTGGTCATTTGTACGCAATACTCTTTATTCTAATTATATCTTAAATCATTAGCGCAACTTCGTTTTTTTTTTATTCGGAAATACGCAAATATTTCTTTAATCTTAAAACATTTTCAACTCTAGTCAAAATCACATCGTTCGCTGGTTCTAGAATTTGAATTCTATGAAAGATGGCGCTACAAAATATATCATTAGTTCCTTTCGAGCCTGTAATAATAAATTTTCAAGGTGTTTTCTTAGCACATGTCTTAACCTATTCGAAATCATTTTTTTGCGATGGAAGCTTATATCACCATGAAGTTTTCTAGCATAATGCTGCAAAGAACAGTAAAAATGACATGCAAAACGACAAATCGGCTTTAACCGTCGAACGGTAAAAAAACTTGCTGTTAACTCGAACTTTGAATAAAAAAGAAACCAAAAACAATTCTCGTTCGTAATATCACATCAATTTCTAAACCACTTGTGTCATAATCGCGCAGTCCCGTATGATAAGATAAGATGCCAACTGGTACATTCTGTATGTAAAGACAAATATTTCACAAACACAAACAGCAAGAAGTATGTTAGAAATATCTGCACCAAAACATTTGTCTTTGATAACATTACCGACTGAAATTCTTCATCATATCTTCGATTCTATTGATTGCCAAACGATTCTTCTCTCGATTCGACAAGTTTGCTCGACGTTGTATGAAGTAACCAATACATATGATCGATATCGACTTGATTTTCGTTCAATCTCGTTGGATAATTATCGTTTTCTTATCTCCAGATTTGATTCTGGAAATGTTAATTCCATCGTACTCTCCAATGACTTTAAGACACCCAATCAAATTCAATTGTTTCTTTCAAATTTCAACACTCAAAAGTTCGTGCAACTTCGTTCCTTAACTCTACTGGAAATCGACGATGAAACTTTAGCACAACTTCTCCAAACGATTTTCTATTGTTCACTCAAGTTCTTGTCGATCAAATGGACATCGTCTAGTACGCCACGGTATCAAACCTTGATTCTTATTTCGACAGTCGTTACACGCAACAGTTTAAGCAAGCTTTCTATGCATTATTATCCAGTCGACAAGCTATGCAAACAGTTTTCTATACAATGCAAAGTGCATCTCACACTTTCAAAATACACCTACGGTCAACTTTGTGAGCTTCCTCTTCTTTTTCCTTACTTGGAAGAACTCAAACTGGATCAATACTTTACAAGTCCTGGCGAAAAATTGATTTTACAGTCTCAGTTGTCACTCATATATCAATACTTAACTTCTTTAACCTTGAGAATTGACGATTCACAATGGAAACAATTAAGAGAAGCTCTTTTAACTACATCTTCACTTCTCCAGGTCAGCCTTCAAGTTTTTGGTATCTTACCGAATTCTGGTACTCTTCAGTGTCCATGGGAAGAATTGATTCAAACAAATTTACCTCGTTTAACTCAGTTTGATTTTCTTTTCGTCATTTTGTCCGAGAACATTAATCCGAATGAGTACATCGAATCTCTACTTCTTCCATTTCGAACACCATTCTGGACTGAAGTAAAACGTTGGTTTGTTACTGGTGACTTTTATCCATTTCCTCGCGAAACAGTTCGACTCTACACCGTATCATTTCATAACAATTTATTTCAATACCCTCAATGGTCTAGTAGAGTATGGCAATCAATTTCACCAATTCCAATCAATGATACTGAAGTGATGAGTAGAATTCATAGTTTAACATTGAATATGAATCAAGTAATCAATTATTTCGAATCATATCAGGTATTATGATTTAGTTTTGAATGAAATCTGATTTTTGTGCTACCTTCAGATAGATTTATCAGATGGATATCTTCTACCGAATGTAACCGAACTCCAACTCACAGAACGACATCAGTGGTCACCAAATTCAATTGAAATCCTTTCAAAAGTTATAAATCTTACACGAATCAACGATCTTCTATTAACAATCGGAATCGATCGGGGCTCTACTTCATTCAAAATAACAAACCTAATTCGTTTACTAGAACGAACAATCAATCTCCATTCACTTGACATCGACATCAGCCGAAATTATCCGAATGATGTGTGGATTATCGCGGAAAGCGATTTGTTTTCATTAATACCACGCTCAATCCGGCATTTACAGATACCACCACTGATTAACGAATTCGTTAAGAAGATTCTTACTGAACTTCCACAAATACAAAGTGTAACATTCAAAGATTGGACCAATTTTCCAATCGAAATGATATCCGACTATCTCGGAAGCTTTGATAAACCTTTCACGTATCAAAAACGGAATCATCATGAATCATATCGAATAGATTGGCAACTTTGGCTCAGTACTAGAAGAAAGATATCATCAGAGACTCCAAGCCGTCTCTCGAACAATAAATATTCGAATAGACTTTTTTGAAAGACTTCGTTTCAAATAAATTATCTGTTGCTTTGTGAGAATTTATTTCATATATTCTCAATTTCAATATTGAAAAAACATCACATAGCGAATTAACAGAAAAATTCGTCATTTTAATCAAAAGCAGTTGCCCATTTGTCGGACAATCATTGCCAACAGAATGATGAATGACAAAGGAAGAATAGTTTGTGATCGTGTAGCACTACTTTTCTTCGTATTAGCGACTTTTACGACGTTTACAGTAATAGCACACATGTTTTTACCGCGCACAATACGTATATAACCATGTTCACCCCACCCCTGACCTAAATAAATCAAAATCTTATAAAAATCAAGTCACAGTCCGTACGGTTATTTACCCCAACTGTTTTTACATATCCAAAAAGGTATGCCGTTTTCGCTACCATAGCCAACAATTTGTATCTGAAAAAAGAAAAGAA